CTAACTTAAGAAGCAGGGGAACATTCAGAAAAACAACATTCTCTTTCAAAATGTGGCCAAGTAATGAAATCACAATAACACAACACCATTAGAGACCAGATTCCATGTCTGAAAATTGACATGAGAAAGCAAAATGAGTAAGGAAACCAGTATTTCCCACCCTAAGTCTTCAAAAGTGATACTGCAAAGCCAGTAAGAATAGATAAAAATTATATCACAAATGGAAAATGAATATACCAGAAGAACTGAGCTATTACTATCCGCTGAAAAGCCTAAGCAACAGAATGCAACGCTATTGTCAGCAAACATAATTGTATATTCTAACTGAACGGTATGAAATCCAAAAGCCCCTCAGAAATTAAAAGCAGTAGGTGGGTTTCCACCCTTTTACAAAGTTACAATAAATAGAAATACAATCCCCACAGCAACATGTTTCAGAATCTTGGTTTTTTTTTCCACCTGTGAGCCTTTTGTTCACTAGAGAAGACTGAGGAGTTTTCATCTTTGCAAAACTCTTCCTTAAAGCCACAGACCTACAGCCGTTTTGGAAATATTTTTGCATTAACTCTGGCACTTATGCCAATAACTGGAAAAGGAGACAACACTGTTAACATTCAAAATAGTGGAAAAAATGTTGCTTAGTTTCTTCCAAGGAGCACTTCTATTATAATTAAGACTCCAGTAACATTTCCTTCAGGAAATGTCTCTCACACACATGGCCAGCTGCTGGCCCTGCTCCTCCTGGTCTCAGTCCCATGAGACATCCAACTATGTGCCTCATTCTGATCAAGTAAGTAGCCCCACYAGAGTGCACAGAACTATTTATATGTTTAATTATAGGAAACCACTTTGGTACCYTGCTGAATCAGGGCCTTTCATACAATTTTGAAGTCTCCTGCAATTAAAGCCATAATACAAAAATCTAGAGAGTAAAAAGAAAGAAACAACCCCCAAATTTACAAACRTACAGAAAATTTTCATAATGCATCTTACTTAGGCAAGACTCATTTGAATTCTTCTACAGCATTGGAGTATTCCCCTTTCTGGCTCCACAAACTATCCTACCTCATGTACAKTCATAAAGAACCTAAATTTTAACACAAAGTATCCTGCTCTGGCTTTTGAAAGAAAAAGKTTCTTTATTAGAAAGCAGGGACTGATTTTTCCAGCAGACAGTGGATTTCTTCAAAGATGCCAATGGTATCTGAATCAAACCCAGCCAGGAGGCAGTAATTTCAGAAGAACTAAGTTGGAAATTTTTTACTCACTTTTCCATCAATTTCCAGCAGTCCCTCAAATGCACAGTTTTTACAACTACAAAAATACATGTTCTTTGTAAACAGGAACAATGACTGGCAGTCCCAAAGGAAGAAAAAGATTCTCTAATCTCTCCTCAGGCAGAATAAACAAAGTTCTTCATCTCTGAAARCTCTCAGTTAGAAACTAATAGATAAATGGAACAACAACCCCAGCCTGAAAAAACCCCAACAAACAAATCAGCCCCCCCAAACCCTTCTAAAACCAGATAAAAGGTTGCTCTTCCCTGTTTGATATCCCTGTTATAGTTCAGCAATGCAGATGAAATATCCTGAAAAACCAAACTTGCACTGGTAGTTCTGTGATCAGCCAACAGAACTTGGAGGGAAAAAGAGAAATCTGAAATGAACCTGCTAAATACCATGTGGAAAAACTAATAAAAATCAGTAGTTTACAGGACGTTTTGATGGTACCGCAGTAAAAAGTGTCACACCTCCCTGAAAGGTCACATTTACTCACAAAAGAACAACTGCTCAGCCACAGAAGCTGCATATTTCTGAAAGAATCTGCAGAGGGTTGACTTACATGTAAAAGATGTCTCTTCATCCAGATGGACTAAAGATACATGTATTCAAAAAAACAAAACAAACAAAAAAAAAAAAACAGACTCCTATTAAAAGAGTGAAAATGCAATTCGGTTTTATCACCCTGGGGATTTAGATTGCTTCAGGACAAACACTGTGGTAACCAATAACCAATAGTATATCATTGTAAAAAGCAAAGACTCCAGTACAGCATAGTGACTTCCTCATTGATGGAAGTTAACGATAAAGACCTGGATGAAGAGCACTGCAGCCATTCAAAGCAGCCTCCGCTCTGAAGAACACGCTTAGGCAGCAGGCAAGCACTGGGTGGGAGATGSTTTCCATTTGGATACATTTCATGTAAAAGCCAAGTAAGCTCTTAAGGCATGTGCTGCGCTTTTTGCTGCTACAAAACTTGTAACTAATCTGCACGGCTTATTTTTTTCCACAAGCAAGCAAGCAAGCCTCCAGCGAGTCTCATGTTCATCACAAATTGCTGTAAGGGCAAGTTATTAACAYAAGCTCTTTGTCAAATGAGGTTCTCAGAGGAGTCGAAGACGCTGATTAACAAACTGTGTAATTCCCCCCATCCCCTTCCTCTTATTTTAAACCGGGGTCACAGTAGGTTTGGATTTGGTTCTCGGGTGGTTTTTACAGGTGAACAGTGAACAGTGTCGGGAGCAAGAGGGCAGCTCTGCAGTGGGGAGAAGGAAAGCTGGCAGCTTCCAACCACCCACCATTGCCTAATTTGCGGGAGCAGATGGAGAATGACTTTTGGACAGACACAGGCTCTTTTCTGCATGCTTTTAAAACTTAGGAAACCATCACGCTCTGCACAGGCATCAAGTGTCTCCAGAGGTCAGTGTAGGCACACAGWGTGTGTGTGATATACTGCTCCCTCTCCTGCCCCCTTTACTTAGATCTTCTGCTCTTTTGAAACCCCTCAGCATGTAAAATACCTCCATACAAAAGTTTCTTCCCATGTATTACAAACTTGGGTCGGTTCCAACATACATCCTACCGATAACCTGAAGGGGAAGCCACACCGATGTATACATTTCTCACAGCCCTTCACAAAAGCTGCCTTCCCCAAGTCGCCCACGCTCTCCACACCTTCCCAACAAACACGCGAAGCAGCCTCGGTGCCCCCTCCCCGCACACACGCTTTGTGCAGCGATCCATTCTGCTGCTCGCTAAACAAACACTCGGAGCAAACCTGCGGCACTGATCCCAGCCCGGCGCTGGCTAATGTATGCAATTACGCTAATCTGGGAAGAAGGCTGCCAGTGGAAACCAAATACGAGAACGTCAGCATTCCTGACGAACGTGCCACGCTGCAGCCCAGCACAACAAGGAAAAGCTCCTTAACATACCAAATGGGACTCGGGGTGGCGAGGGCTTTCGCTCGCCTCCACTCCAGGAAGGAGTCACGGCTCCCACCCTGCAGCTAAACTCGTGAGGAGTTCAACAACGAGGCCAAGAGGCCAGASCTTTTTCATATCTGCGTGGACTATCCCAGCTTCCGAATAAAGGAAAGGCTCTCGGCTGCAGGAAATGAAACTGATTGGGATAAAGATTACACTGCAGCCCCAAGTTAAGTGGAGTTGGTCTGTCATGAGTGCTACCTACAGATAGGCCATTTAGGGCACAAACCACTGAAGTGGCATCACTCTTCTCCTTACCGAGGTGACTGMTAGGCTTTTTTGTTTATCCCAAACCACAGCTGCAGGGAGCTGGCCAGGAGTCACCCTACGAAACTTCTCCCATTGCCGCTCCAGGTCCCCGACCAGATCCTTCTCCTTCTCCCATATCTTAACCAAACCCAGCCAGACAAAATAGCCACAATATTCCAGCAATTGTAAAGATGTCCTCGAATCGGCAGCCTTACTCCCAATTTTTTTCCAGACATAAAAAAGCAATGTTTTCTGCTCATGAAAGACTAGTGGATCCTTGGTGGTGTACTGGCATGTCAAATGCTTACAGTAAAACAAAACCCCCAAAGTTAAAAATCCCCATAGTGCATTTACAAGACCATTTAAAATGGTCTGACAGYGATAGCCTCTTCTATTTTCCATGATTGCTGAGAACATGCAATGCAAGATCCTAAAGCTTTTCAATGAAAGAACTACAGCAATAGCCACTGTCTATCTGATTAAACTGTATTTACTGTCAGTTTAAACACAAGCCTATGCACTATCAAGAGTGACTCAGAATAACACAAACATGTTAAAATCAAAAAATAAATACTACACCCTAGGAATTAAGGCCTAAACAGTTAACACCTTTTTCACCACAAAAATATGCTCATTAACTTAGGCCAAAAATAAG